CTTGGCTTTAAAGTTCCAGAGGACAATCACATCTGTAGAGATCTGAGACTTGGGGGAGAGAAAGGAAAGTCGACTTTTGATTAGGGGGACAGTGAGATGCTGCTGTGGGAAACAACTCAGGATGAGTGAACAGGCAACTCCCCTGGCACCCCAACGAGGATCCTGAAACTCTCCTGCCATCAGCCAGAAAGAGGAATCCTGATAAACTCTCCTGGCAGTGCTACTGAGGCTCAGAACGACGGTCAGGTGAACCTCTTAAGCACTCCCCCCATCTGCACTGTGATTATGATGCTATATGGCGTTAATTCCTGCTGACGTGGTCACATTTACTCCTGCAAGAGACACTGAAACCCTGCCATGAATTCCTCTGTTCCCACAGCTCCCAGAGAGTGATAAACACTTGCTCTTTCTGGAGACCATCTGCACTGGATGCAGGCATGTCTGAGGAGCCACCTGCACTGGGAATAACTTATCTGGAAACAGGAATTCATTGAAAGGCAATCCCTTTGAAACACTGGCAAGATTTTTACCATCAGATTGGGAAACATCACCTCGGATGTATCTGCCAGCGGCTCGTGCAAAATAAGATGGATTAGACAAAGGAATCCTGACAGGATTGCCTTTCAGAGTCTGCCTGAAAGTCTCAGCTGCCAACAGGGGACAGACGCAGGAAAATGAGGCAGGGTTGGAACACAGGGACAGGGGGAGTGCCCAGAGTGGGACCCCTGGTGCCTCAGGAGGGGCAGCAGGTCCTCGGTGTCACAGAGACCAAAGTCACCCCAAAGTGCAGAACTGAGGAAGGAGAAGGTGCAATGGTAGAAGGAGGATTTCTGTGATGTACTCCCCTCCTCTCTGTTCTCAGGGAATACAGCACGTGAATGCCAAGATGGACTGCTACTTGGAAATAGGAACTACTTTTTAAGTTCTGTTTTGCTTAATTATTCATTATTTACTGCTTTAATTATGTATGAAAGAACTCAAGCACCTCTGAATTTTCTTTAGGCAATGCAGACTCTGTGGCATGCTCAGAAAGTTATAGAGGGAGGTGTCTCCTCCTTCCATTAGTCGTAAGAGAAACATAAATTACAATTCAGCATGTAATTCTCTGCTTCTTCACACAGTGATTTAAAGTCGATGGAGTACAATCACTTTGTGCTCAGCATATTTACTGCTGCATAAAACTTTCTCTCTCCCATAAAGGAAAGGCATCCAGGCACTTCTCTGAAAAATACTACAGTGAAACAGTCTTTTGACGAGGCTTTTTGGGAAAACATGTTTTATCTTTCCGTTGTTTACAAATTACTGCAGCAGTGATTTGGGAAAGAGCTCAGTATGTGCTGGTGTTCTTCCTTGAACGGGAACTTTGCTTAAGTGCATTTCTGAGCAGAATCTCCTTGGAAACTTATCTGTCCATTTATCTGCAGTTAAATAGGGATTATTCGGTATCTCCAATCATTCTGGAACAAAGCCACACTTCCCCAGTCTCTCCATCTGCAACATCTACAGTGCCCAGCACCCAGCCCTGCGCCATCCTTGTGTGCCCCACGTGCTGCACAGGACACAGCAGGTGCTGGGATTGTACAGGCTTAAACATCTTCCTTCTTGCCTGCCCAGTCAGCAGACAGGCCAGGTGCTCGGCCAGCTCATCTTGCTTTTCAACGTGCAGACCCAACCAGCACCCTGGTGACCCCCAATGATCCTTTTTCACAGCTCTGTTCCCAAACCCCTGCTGGCTCATGGGCTCACAGTTATTTCTGGTGCCTGACAGACAATGTGACCGCAGAAATCTTCTTTCCTTATGAAGCCAAGGGGAAAAACCGAAACCCACGGATATCCAATCTGTTGAGTACTTGTCTAAAATTAAAGAAAAAGGTCATGAGTATTGCCAGGTTCATTTTACGTGACTAACTCATATTAATGTTTGTAATTTTTCTCAGTATTTGGTCAGGTCTGGTAATGCTTTAGTCACCAACCTGCAGAGAGGTTTAAGGTGTAGGTTGCACTGCCTTTTTTAAGCATTACTTTCCTTTACTCTGCTTCTTGTCCCTGTTAAAGCTGAGTAGTGTACTTAATTTTGTTGATACTTGTGATTACATGAAGAGGCGGTTTAGATTTTAATATTAGTTGTGGTGGAACTCTGTGCATGAAGATGAGCTTTAATCCCTCTGGAATGAGTTCCCTTCTCCTGTCAGCCTATGCTCTCCCTCTCTGATGCTCTCAGACTACTCTACTGTTATGTGGCAGGATACAATTCCCCGCTTTCCGTGGATGCCCACAGCACTCTCCAGTGAGTTATCTATTCAGCAAAGTGCTAACAGCAAGACTTTCTCCGAAAAAGAGAGAAAACCCCCTGAAGAACAAGCTAATAATTTTGCATGCTTAAAGAAGAATCTCTAATTTCACATAAACTCTCAAAAAGAAAAGGCCACTAGAGGGAAATAAATCCAATATGCTCAAAGAAAACAAAGTGCTAGGTCTTCAGTCACTGTAAATTACTGCAGCTAACTGAATGGTCTGGATTTACAACAGGTGAAGGTATTGTTCTAGATTCTTAATAAACATCTGACAGTTGAAGAAAACTATTTATATATTTACACCCTTCATGCAAAGTGCACACCAAAAACATTAAAAGTGTATGTACAAAGAGATTCCCTGCGAAAAGGTAGTTGAACATGGGATAAATACGTTGTAAAGGTATCATTAATTATAGATCTGGATCTTTCAGATTAGACATCAAAAGCAAAAAAAAAAAAAAAAAAAAAAATTAACCAAATCTAGTGATACAGTCCTTGTAAAAATGAATATATTTCTGATTTGCTGCCATGTGACATGTTTAATCTTGGATCTTTGTTTTCTGTGAATGGGTGCACAAACCTGCAGCACCCTGCAATCAGTACTGTCCAATTCCCTGTAATTCAGATTATGGGGAAAGATCCTAACAGTGAGTTTATAAAAAACTCTCTGCAATGTTCTGAAGCTTTAATTCTACAGCTTACTTTTCTGAGGTGAGATACCACAGCTTTCTCCATGTCACTTCTTATTTATGACTAAAAGTAACTCACAAAAAATGTTGATTGTTCTCTCATCAATTTCCATCAACAAAAACTCCATTAGCTTTCTTCCACACTTCATACAACCTTATAATTTTTTCTTTTATCTCTAAATATATAGTTACCATGCTTATGGTTTTATACAACTGAACAACCTGTAATCCTACAAAAATGCTTTTATCTTCATAATTACATTTTATAGTTGACTCCATTTCATTTATTACAATGCTTTCTCCTGCTAAGCTGTCTTTTTATATCCAAATAAACTGACAAATAATTCTGAATATCTGGTCTTAAATTCTCTGAAGCCCTTTCAATAGCAATTTCAGTAATGTAAGAGTTATTACAGTGAATATCAGCACTCTACACTCCAGAGTTTACTGCCAGGCTGTCACAAATTATCAGAACATTTTGCCTGTTTTGAGTAAACTGCAGTGAAAATCTATATCCTCAAAGCAGGGACAGACAACAGCAAAGGACACTATTTCAAAAAGCCCACCAGTTAGATCCACATCCCAGGCTGTGTTCACACAGCTGTTGGCCAGTGAAAAAATAATCCACATGTCTGGTGACCTCCAGCTCTGCGTGCTTGGTGACCTGCACTCAGTGCCATTCAGCAAAACATCTCCAAGGACACAGAGGGGTGTTTCCAACACCTTTCTGCCTTTATTGGGAAAGGAAAGGGATGTGCAGGTGATCCACAGCCTGGCACTTGGGAAATTCCCAGTGCAAGGCCTATGTATCATTAACCATCTTAAATAATGAGCTCTTCAGTTACCACCATCCCCTGGACTGTGAGTAGTTTTTGTGCTTTTCCTTATCCATTTTCATGAATATCATTAGTATCACCACCGCTGTCATTACCATCATCATGATCACAGCAAGCTGCTAATTTTCTGTATGCCCAAAGGCAAACAAGTCATTACTTACTCATCAACACAACTACTTGTCCCAGACACACAGGTAAGCAGATCTTTGCTAAGCTAATCAGTGAAAAAACCTCCAGCTTTTCCACAGCGGAACACAACCCCATCCTCCTGAACATCAGCACTTTTACTACAGAGAATCACAGTATCGCCTCTTGGTTTTTTGCTCAAAACAGTAGTTTGGCCAATTCAGTTCCTGCTCTGCATTAAACACGTCAGCTACAGTTGCAATGTCACTGCACAGCAGGGGAAAAACGTTTCTGGAACAAATGTCAGCAAGGGATAATTCTGAAATAACCTTCTTGCCTTGTCTACAGTGCCAGAAGCCAGAAGAGAACACTGCTATGTAGTTTGCATTGCTGGTAGCCTGGGATGCCAATTCCTGGCACAGTAAGCACTTCTGAAGGTGGAACAAGAAGAAGTTGCAGAAATAAACAAAAACAGGGACCTCTTTTAGTTTCCCACGTTTCTCATGAGGATTCACCTCGGACACGAATTCAAACTTAAAACGGGGGAGAAGAAGCTCAAAACAATAATGCAAAGTTTAAAACTCAAGGGTGAAAAAAAGAGATCTATTAGGACATGGCTCCTACAGATGTTGCAAAACCTTACAGTGAGAAATGCTGCATTAGTACTAAAAGCAGTGAGTTCACTTCCACTTTTCCTTGGAGCTGTGCAATTGTAATGGATAACCTCTGGAGTTTTACCCTTGCAGAACTGCAATCTCCAAAGCACCAGACAGCCTCCAGTTCTGATGAACCACTGACAGGTGCAGTCAGTCTCAAGCAGCTCAAGATTGTACTTAAACAGAAAGGTGTGGTTCTGTGCCCTGTGTAATGGGGTCAAGGGACAACTGCTAAAAGCATTTAATGCCCTCATCAGCAGGGCCCGGAAGCCCTCGCAGCAAGCACTTCCAAACATTTAGCAACCCGCAAACCATCGCGACTCGCTGAGCCAGGCTGCCAAGAGACAAAAGGGTCCCCGAGGACGGCAGGGGCAGAGGGGCAGACGAGCTGGGACTTACCATCCTGGTCAGTGGTGACGGTGATGGCTGTGAACTGCCTGGGGGAGAAGCTCAGCTCCGACACGCCGTTGGTGGCCGCGATCTCGAAGGTGTAGTTGACGTGGGCCACGAAGTCCAGCACCGTCACCGAGGAGTTGGTGAGCCCCGTGTGCCGGGGCACGAAGCGGATGCCTCCCCCACACACCTCGCACTGGCTGGAGTCTGAGCCACACTTCTTGCAGATGACACTGTAGGTGAGGTCCTTCCTCCCCCCGGTGTCGCTCGGGGGGCTCCACTCCAGCATCAGGGCTGTTTCATTGATGTTAAAAACCACGTTCCTGGGAGCAGAGGGGGGCCCTGCAGACAAGGAGGGGAAAACCTGTTAGGCCCCTTTGGGGAAAAAAACCCAACCAACCAACCAACCAATCAACAAAATCATCTTCAAGGCAATTATTTGCAAATAAAAGACACAAGAGTTATGCTTCTCCAATGAATTCAAAGCAAAAAGTAGAAGTTATCCAAACACAGTCCTTGAAAATTAAGCAGGAATGATAAATGTGTGAGATCTGAAAGCTGAATAATCCAAGTAAAATAGAATTAAGTCAGAAATCATTTGAGGCAAAGCAAAAATGACTTGGGAGTGTCAAACCTAGACTTGATAAAACAAATTTGTACTGAATATGTCTTGCTAGTGTGGTATACTGGGCTAGACCTTTAACCCCGAAATTTATATCCTTATTCTAAGTCTAGTAGTGTAGGCCTCTCTGAGACTTAAAACATTTGATGTTTTATAAGGGAAGAGACAAACAAAATAATAAATAAATAATAGCTTTGGAATGACTACAAGATGTAAAACTGTTTGTATTAGTTCTGCAGCGCCAGATATTTTTTTCTACCCTTCACTGCTTATCCCCAGGGCTTTCCTTGCTGCTGTTCATTAACAGAGGTAGGTGGCAACAGGCCAAGCCTATTAGGCACAAGAGACAGTTTACAAGTTTTTATTTCTTCCCACCTGGCACCTCATCAGCACCAGTACAGCAGTGAAGACATCAGCCTTGCAAGTTAAAGGTCTAAAACCACGACCAAAAGGAAGGAGAAAAAGCAATTTTTGTAAGACTGTGGGGAGAAATACAAAGATAGCTGCTGCAGGCAGAGTGCAGGAAATCTCTCATCTAACAAGCAGGTGGTAAAGCTGCCTGTGTTCTGTCAGATGAACCACAAGTGACCCATTTCCCATGGATTCCACAACAGTCTGGGTATGTCCAGCAAGATTTAAGTTGTTTGCTGACTTACTGTGTAGGAGCACACAAAAAACATCTGGGGCTTTATATATATATATATATATATATATATGTATATATATATAGTGATTGTGCAGGTTTTGATCATTTATACCAACAGGACTTAAAGTTTTAATTGAGACACTGGTCAGACTTTGAGTGAGCTTTTCATTACTACAGGGTCTCTCAAGCAGCCTGGAAGAGTACAGGAAACATTTGCAAATGACTTCAGCTAATTCTTACACAGAGTGTATTTCACTCAACAAATCGAGTGGCACAGTAAAGATGAGAGAGTGAGATGATTAAAATATACTCTGCTTTCTAAACAAACCAAAGATATTGATCTACACTTGTAAATTCCAGTTCTACGACTTATAGCATGAGGACAAGACCTTGTGCCTAAAAGATGGTCAAACCTTTTCTTTAGGAAGCAAAACAAAAATATCAAAGCTCCTCCTTTATTTTTCCTTCCTGGTCTTTGTGACCTTGTGATCAGTGCAAACTGAAGCACTTGAAATACTTCAATAGGTAAGCACTTATAAATGCAACTTGTTAATAAAGGTTCATTATATTGATACTTCATTATCCAGTGGTGTGGAAAACAGAGGTAAAGGGACAGCCTTGAAAAGGCTGCTCAGAGTGTAAAATCCAGAAATCACTGAACTTCCCATAAAACCACTGAGGTCGATGGTTCTGGCTACTCTGGAAAACAGTCCTGGGATGGGAACAAGCTAAAACCAACACAGATTACTTCAGCTTCAGTTCTTATTATTTATGTTCAGAAGACAGGAATAATTATGTTTCCTCTAAAGCCATGCTGGGAGAATTAAATAATGACTGGTCTTAACAAATTCCCACTGTTAAAACCAATGAGGAGTTTTAGGAATATGGAGGATGAGCTTTAATCACTCTTACATATCTGCATAACTTTGAGTGGATCAGTAATCCCCTTGAAATAATTGGTAATACTCAAGCACTTAAAACTAAGCATGTGTGTAATTGCTTCAAGAATTGGAGTCAAGGTTTTTAAACTAGCTTAGATTTAATCTCACATACTATAGATCCATCCTTATATCTTACAGCACTATAGATATTATGACCATGGGTAATCACAGCTCAGTGGGGGTTTTTTTTGGTGTTATTTCATCAATTTTGGCACACCAAAACAGGAGGTAATGTCAATCTGGGCAACAGCAGACTTTTGTCTGGCTTTTTGAATTTTCATTTCCTGTCAGATTTTTGTTGTCCTACACGTAGATGACATTTGTAGATGGACTAATACAGTAAATCAAATACAATATTATAAAAATATTTTTCATTTGTACTAGAGAGTGAAAGTTTTCATAGTCATGACTTGGGACTTGATCCTCAATTGTAAGAGAAAATAGATACTGTTGTACATTCACATTTCAGTGGAAAGGAAAACCATCATCAATTATGAGAGGTGTCTGGAAGTGTGTGACTGTCTGCCTGCAAATGCAGAGAAAAGCCTCAAACACACTTCCCACTCCAGGCCCCTCACGCCAATTTGCATGACGATTAAATAGCTTTTTAATTGCTGCTAAATTGTGCCAGTTAAACTGTGATTTCATGCAAATATTAAGCTGTAATGACATGCAGTGAATCATTTACCAAGATTTAGAACTTGGAACAAAGAGAGACAATTCATTCTAATCCTCAGATTCGGCTAAATTATGTGTCACTGGGCTGTTATGAATGCGGCCTGATTGCTTTGTTATCATTTATGAATTATACAAAGATTGTTTGACACGTCGGAAAAACCTGGCAGCAATAACCCTCCTGCAGACATCTGTGTGCAAAGCACTCAGGGATTCCCTTACATTGATTTTTAAGGAAAACAAGTGCACTGGTGAAAACGAGGGAGCCTTTCTTCACAGCAGAATCCACGGCTCTGGATCTTATGCAAAAGAACAAAATACAGTTCAGGTGGATGAGCATTAAAAAAACATGCACTTCTTCTGCTTTGGTGGAACTCAGCCAGAGGGTGAGCAATGCCTTTTGCTTCATTTACAAATCATCCTGTAAGGAGTATTTCTACCCTCTCTGGAGGTGATCCACATCAGTGTCTCAGGGAGAACCAGGCCTGCTCCGAAAGCATCAGAGCTGACTTTATCCTCTTCCTCTGCAAAGGCAACCTGAATTTTGCAGTCTTGGAAGGGGAGAGGAGCAAACCCAACACTGCAGAAATCTAGTGGGGGCAATGCAGTATTTTACACACTAATGAGTGATGACTGTCTGGAAAAAAACCCATTACTGGGCTCTTAGAAATTCGTGTTATTTGACTACTGAATTTACATCAGAAGAGCAAAAATTAAGCATTTCCTTAGAATATACTCAGAATGAGCACCTGGCTGTGCCCCTTGAGTTCATAAGTGCTTTCTGACACACATTCACACATGTGGTAAAGGTATGGAGTGCCACTTGGTGTAGAACTGCATTTTTCCTTTTCCAGAGTCACTGACACTGCTCCTGTGAGACCTGCAGGAACTGGCAGGCAGTGACTGCAAACCAGCACTCCGAGTCTGAGTACAAGGATGGACTGCAAACCAGTGTATAAACACATATTTATATCCATTTACGTATAACAGCAGAGGCAGCAGAGTCAGAGATTTCAGGTATGTGGCTTGATTTTGCTGCTGAAATATCATATTGACTCTTTAGAGCAGAGGATACAGGTTGTGGCAGAGGTTGCTGAACAGAACACAAGTTTGTTGGGTTCAAGTTGTTCAAGCATGTCATGAGAAGAGACACATTCAGACTCAGGCAACTAACACAAGCCTGCCTGACCTTGAAAAGATGGATCAATTCATCCAATTACTCTCTAGTGGGAAATGCTGGACTTCATGTACAGAGTAATCAGACAGGGGATTAGATATGATGCTGTTTGTTGCTCTCTGTGTATGCAGAGAGATCACTGATAGAGCACTTGCATATGGCAAAGAAATACAATAAGAAGAAAGAGCAGCAGCAAGAGATTGATAAGAAGTGTCAGTCAAATGAAAAGAGCCCAGGAGAAAGGGATTAACAATACATTCTAATGCAATTTTCACTCCTCTTATTGAAAGCAGATTTGTATTACAGTTCTTTGCAAAGTGCACGCTCTGCTTTCACAAGATGCAGCTACAGGAAGTAAAAATGGCAACAGCACAGTTTTGGAAAAGGAGACACCATGTACCTACACAGAATTAATCAAAGTGGGTTTGAAGCTCATCTTGTAAAAAGCAGATGGTGGAAGCTAAACTCTTAACTTCAGAGTCTCTTAAAATAAGGTGGGGGTTTTCTTACTTGGTTTTTGTTTGTTTGATTGATTGATTTGTTTTTGGGTTTGTTTTTTGTTTGGTTGGTTGGTTTTTTCTTTGTTTGTTTGTTTTTGTAATGCTGCTCTGAAAGGTAATGATGGAATCCTGATGCCACGTATCAGTAATTTTTTCAAAGAGCTGTCTTTCAGAGATGAAAAACCAATGACTTTCAAATAACATGGGACTTCATCTGCATGATGTGTGAGTGACACTGTCTTTCTAAGCATGAGAGTGTCAGGAATGCCTGGGATGTGCTGGTTCTGTGAGTGAGTTCTTAATGGCTGAGCTTGAGGCACTCTCTTGGGTGGGATTATTTGTAATCACCATTTTTCCTGGGGGAAGTCTGGAAAACATTGCTTATTCCCTCCCATATTTTATGCAAAATTCCCACACATACTCGATGCAAAATTGTAGAGCTGTGTCCCTCGTTCCAGACTGAGCTGAGAGCAGGTTCTGGGAGGGTGATTGGGGTGTCTGTGTGAGCCCTAAATCCCTCAGGGAGAGTGTGGGACTCACCTTTCCCCTCTGAAAACCCTTGTCTTGGATCAGACAACTCCCTGCTCAGTGCCTTCCATCTGAGAAATGCAATTTCAACGAGCATCACCCCATTCAGTGGCGGGGCAATGTCTTGGTCTGTGTAACGAGCTCAGGTTTGCAGAATTTCTGTGACTGTACAGCAAATCCAAAGTACCTGCTGTGTTCCCAGCTTTCCCAGCACAGGGACATTTGGAAAGACCATCCCGAGCACAGGGAGTGTTCAATTCTGCCAGCTCAGTTGTTCTGTCAGTGTAAACATATTAAAATTATGGCTACACACCGGTGGTTTTTGCAACAGCACTTTGTGTTTACAGTTTTATCTCTTAAACTTTTTGTACTTAAAATTCTGTTAAAATGCTTCAGTCATTTAACATGCTATTGCTCTTATGCTTTTCATTTAAATCTGAGGGGACAGCAGAGCACGTCATTGCAGTTTTTTTCTTTACCTGACTCCAGTTTTTTGAAAGTTTTTGTGCTAGCATATTTTCAAGCATTTAGGATACCTCTTGGTAGTTGAAACACCACACGGTTATCTACATGGCAGTGGTTACCCTCCTTGTTTTACATCTCAGAATTACAAGTACAGAAGTCATCAAACTGTGAAACAAGGCTATTTTTAAGGTTCTCTGGACTAAGAAGAAATATGCTGTTTGAATTTTGATTAAAAAAAAATCTTTTTTGGTTAACTTGAATGGAATTCTTCGCAAAATGCACAGACTTGTCATTTATTACAACAAAAAATGAAATAATAAATGAGGCAACAGGAGAAGAGAATTGCAGACAGTGGTACTGATCAGACTTACTGGTACATGCCATGGTTGGTGGGTCCTTCTCAGCTCTGAAATAACCTTTCTCACACTGGCAGACAGAAGTTGCTTCTACGTGAGTCAAACTGTGTGGAGGACATTTGGAGCACTTCACATTCCCAGCAAAGGCTTTATAGAATCCAGGCCTGCAAGCTGCAAAAGAAGAAAATAAGTTTCAGTACTAGAAGCAAGTTTTGGCCATTTGTAACATTGGCTCCACACAGTCATAATGCTCCTTCCTGCCTTGCCAATCTACATGCATGTACATATATATTTTAGTTTGGTATATGGACTTAAAAAACTAAATCTGTTCTTGTTATGTGACGGGGAATCATTAAAAGAGACTGCTTCACAATTTACAGACAGTCCTCACTGGTGCTTGAAATTGTACCCAGGCAACTTCACTACTATCACCAAATAAAGGAGCATTATCTGTTCCTGTGGTGACAAGAGAGAGTGAGATAACTTCTTATCTGACAGAACTATTTGTGTGCCTTCCTATTCAAGTAACAGACACTTGGAATACTTTATATATCATTTTCCCTCACAACACCTTGAGGGGACAGGGGTGACATCCCTGTATAGGGACAGCACAGCCTCTTGTCCCTTTTTTTGCTGGCCTTTAAAACAGCAACAAGTCACTCAAATAAACCTTATCATAAACCTGCCAGGTGTGCATCCTGAAATATTGCTTTAAAACCATCCCCAGACTTCATCACACATTTAAACTGCTTTTCTTCTCTCTGCACACATTGCAGTTCCTATCTCCTGCTTCCCAACGTGAGAACAGAACAAGTGAAAGAGCAACTCCAACATGTACAGACTGTACAGGCTCCTATTCCTTCTGATCCTCCAGCAGCACAGTGGAAACCATTGCTGTAAATACAAAGATCCATATGGCTTTTTCTCACTTGAACATATTCAACACTGTTTTCTTTACATGGCTAGAGGAATCAGGCAGTGTTTCCTTCTCTTGTACTGAGACACAGAAAACATTTACAATTAGATGTTTTTAATAAGTACCCCAAAATATGCATTTGATGGATGCAGTGTCAGTTCATATTAATGGAGTTATTAAAAATTATTAACTCATAGACAACATATACACTGATCAGTTTTTCTTCTGATTCCAAAGGCCTCTCTTGATATAAAGGCAGTTTCACCTGTAGCTGAATGAGATGACACTGCAGAAGATAGGACTTGATTGCCTCTCACAACCCAAGAGCCAGTTTTTGAAATGTCATTGGAAGAGCTTAATTCTGACCCAGCACTTTCAGCAGTTCTCCCAGGGTGTTGTTCTGACTTTGCTGAACAGACATTAGGGAGGAATCCTGCCCTGCTGTCACTGGCTTAAAAAAATAAAATTAAAAAAAAAAAAGAAAAAAAAAGAAAAAAAAGAAGTATTTCTGGTGTTAAAGATAAGAGGGGTGGGAACAGCAGGGATCTTCCCCTTGAAGGTGGGCTGCTGGTCTGATCCAGTTGTGATTACAGTGAGTGGTAATTTTGCACTGATTGCAAAGACAGCAGGGTTGGGGCACGGAAGGAGGCAGCACTGCAGATCCTGGCTGTGGGCACTGATTCCTCTTTGGCTTGGCTGGAAGGAAGGAAGGGAGGGAGGAGGTAAAGCAGAAAGAAAGGAATGGTGTTAGGCTCGCTTGCTCCCCTCCTATTTAAATTCTTGCCCTTAATAACTTCCTCTCAGACATGATGTGCAATACCAAATGAAGTTTGTGACCAAACAGTCTGCAGTTCCAGGCTACAGTTTCAGTCAAAGCAAAATGAGTGTTCTTTAAAATCATTATCACTTCTAAAATTCACATCTGTCCCTTCTGAAATCTGTCTGCCTTTCTGTCCCCCCAGTGACACGTCACTTTGGATCATCAGAAACAGCATTCTTTTTTCTAGGGCAGTATTCTCTCTAAAGTTCGAGCAGTTCACTATTACAGAATAAAACTCAAGGATAAGACTCATTCCCAACGTCAAAAAGCAAATGTTTTATTCTGAAATGGGATTCTCTATTGTATTTAAAGCAGTTATGTTTTTGACATGGTGAGTCTCTTCAAAGAAAGCATAAATGTACTAACAGAAGAAGTATGGAGAAGAAGAAGGTGGGAGAAAGCAATGGATTAATAAATAGATAATTTTACTTCTTTTCAAGTCAAGTATTCTTATCCTTTAAACCAAGTATGTGCTACAAGTTCTGTGGCAGGGGGAGGTATCAGAGAAGCTTTTCAACAGAGCTTTTCAAAGCTATTGACAACCCAGTCCCCATTCAGAGGGAGAATCACAGTCAGGATTATTGGGTACCTGCAAATAAAAAAGCCCTTCATAAAAAAGAATCACCTTTAGAGTCCTGAGGTCCCAATAAGGATTCAGATATGGCTCTATAAGGGGATTATCAGTAGGTTTACTTACAGACCTGATGCTAGCCCAGTTCCTCTGGCTTTGCCCAGCTTTCTGTTATTTCCATTGTTCGTTCTCCTGTGGCAGTTTCAGCAACTCACTGCCCAAACTGCCTGGTGGGCAAATGAGAAACTCAACACCTTTTAGTTATAAACAGGTTGCATTTCTGTATTTGAAGAAGGAAAAATGACCACCTTTCCCATTTAAAATTGTTTCCTATGCAAATGTATCGCAAGTTAAGAGTTTGCTCCACATGTTTTTGTGTGCAGATAGTTTAGTTTTGCATGGGTTGATAAATCAGTATTTTCAAAGCATTTCTCATAACGTTTTCTTCACTCAGCAACCAGTTTTGCATCTGCCATTGTCACAAATCCTTTGTGCATATCTTGGTATAAACTAAAATTTAAACTATGAAAAAGGTTTCTAATGATGACTACTCAAAAACCCCTGAAGTTTGTTTTTATCTGTGTTACCATAGAGTATTTTTTCCTGCCTTCCAGATCCCAGCCAGGCATCTTATTTCCCCTCCTGTTACCTAACACAAGTGACTTTGTGAGTTGCTAATTATAGCAACTGTATGAA